AGTCTCTCTCCCGCTCTTTCTCTCTCTCTTTTTCACTATATGTAACAGTCCCCCTGCTCCTTGAACATTGCATTTGTTGCCTGATTCAACACCAGTGCTGTTTTCAGTCACCCATTTTGCGATGCAAAACTTTAAAGAATCCCCTATGTTCTAGGACATGTTCTAGCACATTAGTATGTGCTAGAATGCAAAGGAGGAAACCAAAATGTTTCCATTAAAACGCTCACATCTAGAGACCAAGTGCACACTGGATTGGCTATCACAATAAAAACAATATAAATTAATGGCATAGTACATTTTTGTCACTTGTAGATCCACTTTGCTTATGACATTGACTTTCCGATTCACACTTTCAAAGCCTTTTGCATGATTTTTTCTTTGTTCTTTCAGTCGGTGAGGTTGGTTGACATTGTCACTTCCTTTAGCCTGGAGGAAGTTAGGTCCAAGAAAGTCTGATTTCTTTGCCACAATTCAGGCTTGATCATCTCGGTGCCAAAAGGGCAGTGAATGACTAATGTTTGGCTTCCCGTGGAAGAGTAGCTGAGCTATCGACATCTTCCCTATGTCCATTTAGTCCACAGGATAAACACAAGTCTTAATCTCAACAGGGTGCCTCAAGAAACTGTGTACATATATATTAATTTGGGGGAAAGTAAGCAATTCTTGAAGGCTCTAGAGGTGAATGATGGCTCTTGAGATTTAAGAGTGCAGTAAAATGTTCTGAAATTTGGTATATTCATCTTACTTAAAAAGGCAGTGTAGGCTTTTGTTTATTGTGGTATTCATCTGCGTGTACGTGTGTGTTCATAAATAAGTAAAGCTTTGCTTGTAGAAGATCCTAAAATAGGTAATAAAACCGTGAGCCAAAGAACACACAGTTTTGGCATGTAACCTTCTAGTCTTTGTTTCCAAATGCATATGTATTCTGTTATGTTTTTACTTTTTGCTACCAATTTTTGCATACAACCGTTATAAAATTTCACCAAGAATAACATTTGCCATTTAGTTGTATGTGAACGTGTTCAGTAACGTGCTTTATGGTCTTGGTATTTAAAAGGAAAGCGTTCTCTTCATGTTATTTGGTCAGATTCCAGTCACTAACAGAGAATTTGCCATTTGGTTTCTCCAAAAGGACATTTCCTTTTTCATAGGGAACTTTGGAAATTCAGGTCCCACTTTTCTCACTTGTATAAATCACACTTAGACTCACACTTTGAATGTATGCTTCCCCGTAAAAGTTTTCTGGGACCCCTTTGAAATAGCATTTACCACCTTCTCGGCTCTAAGAGCAGATGGTGCCATTGGTAGACTCTTCCTTCTGCCTCTTCTCAAAATCTCCCTTCTTTTCCCTGAAGGGAGCAGGTGAGCCCATTAAGACAGGTGCTATTTCTTCCCATACCTCACATGTAGTACGTGACACGATTGCCCCTGGGAACACGAAGTGCGATTTGTCCTGGGAAAACCACCGTTGGGCTGTGAAGCGTGGGATCACGCTGCTTTCTGTCGCCCATCCAGTGTGGGATGGCCCGCACTCAGCTCTCACTTGATAAGAACCACATCGTGTGCTTTCTAGGTCTTGGAAAATTCTGCCAAAGGGTGACCTTTTTTGAGTATTTTCTGATGAGGTCTCCCAGCTGTTTTCAAACCATCTGAGTAGTTTTGGCTAAAATATATTATAAATTGTAATCAGGAGCTTTGTTCCCGCATTCATATTCATTAGATTTTAAGATTTAATGACTATGTGGACTTAAAGCAAATCCTTGATTTCTTTTTTAAAAAGCACTCAAGTGAGTCTCTCGATTTTTGACTTTCTGAATACTAATGTAGGGCCAACTTTGGCTCCTGTGAAAGGTGTAGCTTTTGAAAAACAAGGTAGCAAAGAGGAACAAATTCCTCTCTAAATTAATACTTTTTCTTCTTTGTTGTAAAATACAACTTGTAGGGTCAGTTGAGCTGGGATATTTTGGGATGTTGCACAGAGGGCTTCCTCAGAGGAAACAGGACTATAACTATTACCCCAGTTTGCTTCAGACTGGATGGTTTTGTACACTTAATGGAAGGGCCATTAATTAATTAATGTTCATGTTTAAATAAATGTTTTATTGCCTCAGCAAGATTATGAATATGGTATTCTTGATGAAGGTTCTTGATGAAGAATTCTAGATGAAGGCTAGGTTGGCCTCACCTAGCCCCTCCGATCCCAGCCCCTCCTTGCCCACCAGAAACACCCCAGTGACGAGTCTTGTGTGGACAGTTGTGGAATGCGGACACCGTGCCTTTGTTTGGGTATATTTGACACCGGCCTCCTCCTGTACCGGCCGTTCTGCAGCATGCTGCTTGCATTCAGCATCGTGTCTTGGAGCCCATCCATGCTACTCAGAGAAAAAGCTCACTGCTTTTAACCTCTGCAGACTGCCCTATAGGTGCGCTGTTCCACAGTTTCTTTTTTTTTTTTTTTTTTTTTTTTTTTTTTTTTTTTATTTATATATGAAATTTATTGTCCACAGTTTCTTTAGAACCTCCGGTCCTTTCCAGGTTTCTTTTATGCCACCCCTGCTGCAGTGAGCATCCTTGTATATACCTGCACTTTCAGCGTGTGTTTCTGTATGATAGGGAAAGAAAAGTACCCTTTATTTTATACACGAACTCTTCAGAGACCAGGAATTTAAGATGGTCGGTTTTATAAATGATTAGCAGAGTACGGATCAAAGCCACTTTCCCGGACTCCTCCTACCTCGTTGGAGATTCTTGACACATTTTTATAGAGAGTCACTGGGATCTTGTGTGAAGACAAGTCTGGTGGAAAGCTAGCTACAGTGAAATGTTGCATCTTGCAGTTAACGAAGAAGGTCAGTCAGAATTAGGGAAAAAAATCTGAGTGCAAAGATGCAATATTATATACTTTTGAAGTGTGTGCAATGACCAACACGAATATAACTGAATAAAATTCCTTAAGGGAATCACATTAATGAACAAATAAAAGCACTTCATAATTTTTTAAAGAATAGTGACCCAACCAGATTACCCAGCACAGTTACTCTCATCCACAGGTAAAATAGTTCCCCTGCAATATTTTTTAGACTTTAACAGGTTAGGCAGATGACCTTTCCTAGGGGGGAGGAAGATAACCATAAGCACGTCCTTTCTGAACGGTGTAAATTCTCAAAGGCCGGTGAAGGGGTTGACATTTGAGAGGCCTCCTCTACGCCAGGTGTGAGGCTTTAAAATGTTTTGTCTCTTTAAGTATCATCATCCTGTGAAGTGAACCTTACTATCTCCATTTCGTAAACTGAGACGCTGAAGCATGGACAGCTCTAAAGCCAGCTTCACGAAGGTCTGCCTGTGCGATCTCGCTGGACCTGAAAGAGTCCTCCTCTTTCCACCGTCTCCCAGTCTTCTTAGATGTGGTCCTCAGACCTCCTGCATCGGAATCTCCTGGAAGATTTGTTTACAGTGCAGATTTCCCGGCCCTTGGGGGTGGGACCCAGGGTTCTGCATTTGTAAAAGTCTGTACGGTCTCCTTATGTACTTGGAAGTCTGAGAGCCACTCGGCCAGGCCGTGATGACCTCGTTTTGGTGATGACGTGATGAGCCTTGCCAGAAGCGTCCCCAATGCCTTTGGGGACAAGTAATCCATGAGAAGCCATGCCTCACTTGCAGTGGGCACATGAGCAGTGCTCCTCTGCTGGCTTCCTCCTACTCATCCACTTCTGTTGCCTCGTGTTACTTGTGCTGAACTTAGCACAGCTCATGGTTTGACAAGTCACTTCCCAAAGCATTGAAATCATCACACTACACGGGGATCATTTTCTAAAAAAGGTTGAAGTTTCCAGTGCAAAATCATCAGATCAGAAGTCTATCTTTTGTGCCCCGTACAGATGGAATCTGCATTTTGCATTCTATCCCTTGCTCAAACCAAAAATGAAAAATAGATAAAAAATGAGAGGACAGCTTGCAGAAATGATTACCTTTGAAACAACGTTCTATGCTTTTATTTTTCATTCTAGCCCTCCTTTGCTTCACTCTCCTGTTGGCAGGTTTCCCACATGTCTGCCCCTAATCGCTGCTGACTTTTCTAGAAGTGTGCAGCAATCACCAGCCTCTTCCAGCTCTCACCCTCCCGTGAAAGACGGGGTTCTGGAAGAGCCAGCTAGGATCAGTGAATACCTTTTTCTCTTCTGCCTTTTTTCTTTATCCATTATCATCTTCTCTCAGCTCCATGAAATTTTCTCATTCACTCCCCCAACAATCTGCTTTCCTCTTGAGGGTCTGGCCCCAGCTAGTGTCCTTTCCAACAAGCTAAATAGGAGTGTGCTTGGTTGACTGACATGCATGGAGAGGTGTGCCCATGGTCTGGAGGGGGTCCTACAGCAAGTTAAATTTGTGTTCTCTGCTGGCAAAAGAACATCCATCCGTCTTTGTTTTGGTGTTCAGCTCATCCAAATAAAGAAGGCATTTCCTCTCCTGAAAGGCGGTGGGGGGCGGGGGAGGGAGGGAGGAAAGGAAAGAAACGACCCAAAAAAAAGAAAGAAAGAAAAATTTAATTTTAACCATGTACTCCTCTGCAACTAAATATATACCCCTTCCTCTGTCCTGATTGGTCCGCTTCAATTGACAAGTGGATCGTGGGGAAAGGAAATATCCTGGACTTAATTGTAAGTTAAGTCTCTCTTAATCCAGAAGAGCATTTGAGATTCTGTCCAAGTGTTCAATTTCCCAGGCCGCTGAGGTCTGTGAATTTCTTTTCCCAGCCTCCAGGCTGCTGCAGTACAAGCCAGCATAGCTAATGCAGATAGATCTCCTGCCTCTCGCTCTCCTCCTCCCTCTGCTTTGATTCGATATGAACAGCCTGGTAACTCCGATGCTGGGGAGAAATCTGACATAACTCTGCAGATGGCTAGGTTGCCATGAAACACCTGGGGATTGTTCTTTAAGGAAAAGGTAACATTTATATGCTAATGATTTTTTCCCCTCTTCCCTCCTTGTTGCATTTTTTCCAGGGTTGCCAGTTCCCAAGAAGAGCCCAAAGTCGGTAAGGACTTGTCAGTTACTTGATTCTTGTTTGCCGGGGGGTGGGGGCTGGTGGTGGGAAGGGACGCCGTCTGGTTTGACTTCACGTAACGTGTTTTAGAGTAGATGGGGGAGACGGTAGCTCCGGCTCATTTGATTAAGTTCTGAGGGTCTGTTTGGTATAGAAGGTGTTTGGGTTTGTCTTTAACTGTCTAGTGATTTGTGGGCAGGCTGCAGGAGCCAGGTTAAAGAATGCATGTTTGGAATCTTCTCTATAAATGCATCACGACTCGCATTCAAATGGATGACTTTCTCAGGTGTTTTAACTTGATACAAATGCTATTGTTTCCTTTGGGAGGGGGGTGGGGAGAGCTCCACCTGCTTTCTGGGTAAGGTTGCTCTTAACTGGTGTTTCCATCCGTTCACATGGGCAGATTCTCTCCTTGAGCTTTCTTATGCATTGGCTGATGAATTATTTACAAAATTAAAAAGCCTGCAGGTTTGAAGAATTGCTTTGCCCTGTATATATATCCACGCTCACATGCAACCCTGTTCGCTGCCCCAGCATTGAGAATAAGACATTTCCTTGCTGTCGAAATGTCCTTTGTTGTTTTGCTAGCTTTAGCAGCATTATGCTGCAGGTATAGGATTCTTTAAAAAAAAAAAAAATCAATGTTTTGCTGTCCTTTCTAATCTGGTTTCCCTGAAGATGCATTACCTAGTTGACATGTTAGCTAATAGCTTAGAGGCTATGGTGTTGTGCTTGGTGGTGTCAGCTTCTGTTCCCAGGGCACTGACAACAAATTAAAATGCTACTTAAAAACTCAAAATCTGGACCTAGGATGCCTATGAAATTGATCCAGGAGAAGGAAGCTTCCCGATTCATTAACATTTGGGTAAAGAGGGGTACTTCCATGTGGCTTAGAGTATTCGGGGGAGGGAAGATTTACGGCTTTCTGCCATCCGGGAAAGGAGAGCCTTTAAAACTTTGCAGCTTACGGGGCTGCAGTGGAATTCTTTCCACCTGTCTCCAAGCCTGGCGGCGAGAGGCAGAAGTTTATTAAGGAGGTGAGCAAAGAAGCTTCTTGCATTCTTAAGCTCCACTCCTAAGTTGTCCAAAGAGAAAAGCCTGCAATAATTGATGTGCTTCCAGTGGCACGGTGCCGTGGTGTCTACAACATGTGACTTCGGGCTGCCTCCCTTGTCAGTCTGTGTTAATGTTGAAGCTGAAAAGCGCTGGTAGGTGTGCACATCGGAACCACAGAGATGCCAATGCTCAGGAGCGCGCGCGCGTGTGTGCACGTGCGTGCACATGGCACATGTGTGTCCTGATCCCCAGGTCATAGTCAGAAACCTATTCAGCCTTCAGAAAAATAGAAGTAAATCCTAAAGATGTGTCTCATGAGCTTGAGTTAGCCATCCTTTTTTCTCCCCCACCCGCAAGCGTTTTCCGTGATGCACGGAATTAATTTGCACACCCCACATGGAATGGAGTCTTAACGAGGAGCATACTGGGGGGAGATATAGCAGGTCTGCCCAGGGAGCATGACATCAAGGAGTAAGGTGTTCTTTTTGGTTTTGCATCCCATTTAAACTTACTTTGCAAAAGGATGTTGTGGATTTCATTTGCATCGTTTCTTCCCCAAAGTGTTTTGGAATTCACTGCCGAACTCAAAGCATATCAAACAGGTATAGAGCCTGTTTTCACCAAGTCAGTTAAGAGAATTCCCTATGACAGTTTATTTTTGTAGAAGCCGTGTCATTAGCAAGCAGCAAGCCAATTACTCCGGCTGCATTCCTAGGAAAAAAGCGTTCTTAACTGCTTTGCCCACAGTCTGCTGGCTCTTAATTACCACAAGCTAAGAGCCTGGTGTGTTGCCGGGTTAGAAAAGAACAAGCCCCCGGCCTGGGGCTTGTCCTTACCTGATTTCTGTGCCAGGACAGGGATGATGGTTTTCACAGCATTGCTGGCACACTCTGGCAGCTGCTGTACAAAATTTGGGAACAATCAGCCAAGGTCTGCCATTGCCAGTAGAGCATTGCTAACATCTGTGATCCGTGGGAGCTCTGTACAGGTGGGTTGAGAGCTGTTTCCCTTCCCCAGTTAGAATTTTGATGAGGTCCTGCCAGAGAGACAGATGATGATGGGATTTTTCTGGTGGGGTCGAAGGGAATCCATGGGGAAGCTGGATGTCATGGTTCCAGAAAGGCAGGCACATAATAGCAGACAGGGTCAGTTGTGCAAGATAAGTAATGAATGCACGCGGATTGTGCCAGGTTATAACATGCTGAGATGTACCATTAGCTCTGTGAATATACGGTCTTCACCCGGGACCATGTTTTTTCTCTGTTCTAGAGTCTTCTGACATTGTTGGCTCGCTCATGTGACTGACAGCTTCCTTTTGCCCTCATACCTTTTTTTTTTTTTTAATGTTTTCAATAATTAATTAGTTGGGTTTTTATTAGAACAAAAAGACTTTTTGATCTTGTTTTCCCTCCTGGGCAGTGTCTCTAGCTTAGTCTTATTAAGCAGTTTCACCTACTAGATTTAGTTTAAATGTTAAGCTTATGGGTTCTGCACACTGGGAACAATGGCAGTGCCTTAATAAATTGTTATTCATTTAATACCTGGATGTTAATACCATAACATCAGGAATTTTTTTGCCACATGGCAGAGAAAAAAATAAGACATATTTGCTGTCAGGTTTTAGACCTCACTGGAGAACTGATTCTGAGACCCAATTTAATCATCCTGACTGGAAACCTACTTAACTGAGACTCTTGTTCTGAATCATGCTCAAGGATTTTGTAAGAATTTAAAACTCTAGGGGTGCCTCGCTGGCTCAGTCGGTACGTAGAGCTCATGACTCTTGATCTCGGCATCGTGAGTTCGAGCCCCACATTGGGTGTACAGATTACTAAAAAAATAAATAGGTAAACTTAAAAAAATTAATTTAAAACTCTAAATACCACATCAAACCCTGAATTTTAAGTCAGTATTCACTTTTGTTTTCTCACTAGTTCGTTTCCCAGCTGTGACTTCCCTTTCTCCCTTCCTTCATCTGTCCATCTGTCCGTGTAACCCATCCATGCATCTGTCCATGCGTTTATCTTTTATGCGCTCATCCCCCAACTATCCGTCCGTCTATCCATTTATTTAGCAATTAGTATCAAGAACCTAGTAAGTGTCAGGTTTGGTGTGAGGCACTGGAAATACTATGGTAAATAGGTTGGTCCTGTGCCTTTCTTGGCGGGGCTTGCAAACACATAATGTTTTGATTCCTCCTTTCAGAAAAAAGATTCATTGTCACAAATCACCAAAAATTGTCTGCATTTGTTGCCTCAGCCTGTGTTTATTGAGGTTCTTCTGTATGCCAGACCCAGTGCCAGCATACAACAGGATCTAAACCAGAAAACACTCCTGCCCTCAGGCAACTAGGGAGAGAGAAACAATAGTCACATAAACAGGCAGATCTGCATGAATCCTACTCATGGGGCATAAAGGCAGAAACCTTCCCAAGTTAAAAAAAAAAAAAAAAAGCAGAAAGATAATCTAGAACCAAGTACACACATCATGAAAATCACTCAGCTCTTAATTGCAACCTCCTAAGTTAAATAGTCCTTACAAAGTCCCAGCAAGGACCCAGGGCTGAGATGCTGTGATTGAGCTGTGGAATTTTTCTGAGTTCCCCAGCAGCCTGAGCAATACAAGAAGCCTTATTTATGTAACTGTTATTGTCAGATCAAAGAAAGCATACCATATTCATAAAGAAGACAAAACTTCCCCAGTTACTAAAAAACTTCCCATCAAGTTTTCATACAGGGAACACGAAATGTCAGAGAGACCAAGGAAGTCTGTTCAACAAACTGCAGCAAAGGCAGCAAGCTGAAAGGAAGCAGTAGTGACAGGTTTCTGGTCCATTGTCCTCGGCTCCTTTCCCTTGGAAGAGACCCTAGGGATACTGCTGATGACCAGTTGTTAAGAGATGTGAGAGAGAGAGAGACAGAGAGAGATCTCTCAGGTAATATACCCAGTGAGTGACCCCAGCCAGAATCACCCAGTTTTATGTATCCTGCCTGGTTTTCAACGTTTATTTATTTTTGGGACAGAGAGAGACAGAGCATGAACGGGGGAGGGGCAGAGAGAGAGGGAGACACAGAATCGGAAACAGGCTCCAGGCTCTGAGCCATCAGCCCAGAGCCCGACGCAGGGCTCGAACTCACGGACCGCGAGATCGTGACCTGGCTGAAGTCGGACGCTTAACCGACTGCGCCACCCAGGCGCCCCCTGCCTGGTTTTCAAACTCTCCTGGTTGTCTTAACTCCCCAGAGCCACAAAGCAGTGAGTAGTAGAAGGAAGAAGGATTAGGGTTGCTCATGTAAGTCTCCTTGTCCCTCACCTTCTCTCAGCGACGCACTCCCTCAACCCCTCGGAGCCTAGAAGAGAGACTTTGCTTTTGTATCTTTCAAACATTCCATGTGAACCAAAATTCGTTTTCATATCCGATCGATACTTTCCTTTTCTTCTCCATTAACTCCTCTCATCTGCCCTTTTGGAAGAGATTATTTGACTTAGACTCGTAAATGATAAAAGAAAGAGACAAAGAGAAAGACCATCCTCTGCTTTGGCTTGTATTTGAGTCTCTGATTTTGCACAACCTTTAACGACATTGGCCTAATATCTCATCAGCACTTGTAGTTTTTCCTGTTGTCCATGTAAATCACTGCAGTGGCCTTCAGTCTTGGCAGATAAGTGAACTGTAAATAATTTTGCTTTAAAATGGATCGATTTGTCATCTTTAAGCCACATGAATTCTTTTCATCATTTAAGCTCCTAAGTGCTGTCTGTATTCATTTACTCTTCTGAGCAAATATTTTCAGCTCACTTTATAAGTACCTTCGTTTTGAAATCATTTTGTGAAATACTGATGAGTTGATTTTTTTTTCCTGTTTCCATTTATAAAAACCATTGCATCTTCCCAATTGCCCTGGCCTGTCAATAGTTAGGAAATCATTTGTTCT